TCTGTAAGATTTTGAGTGAATTGAGTGATTTTGAGATTTTGAGTGTACACTATTTTGAAATTTCCAAAGGTACTTGTGGACAGGACCCCCCCCCCCCCTTCCCCCCTCCCTCCTCAATACTCAAGTAACTGATATTTTGAAATTATTTTTGCAGCAAATGAGAATGGAGAAGTGTCTGCTTCAGATTTTATCTCAGGAATGGGGTATGTATACTCAAGACCTTTTAAAGTGAATGTTGTCTTTCTGTTTGATTGTATGTTTATTATAAAAAAAATTAAAGAAAAAAAAAGGAGCAATGTGAATTAAATGATTTTTAGCTCACCTGAGCAGAAGGCTTTTCTGATCACATTTTGTCTGTCTGTCTTTAGTTGTCTGTCAAGCTGTCCGTTCATCTGTAAACTTTTCACATTTTCGACTTCTTCTCAAGAATCACTAAACTGAATTTGGTACAAAGCATCCTTGGGTGAAGGGTAATTTAATTTGTTAAAATGAAGGGCCAAGTCCTCTCACAAGGGGAGATAATTAAGAACAGACAAAAATAGGGTGGGGTCATGAAAAAATCTCAAGAACCACTGGGCCAGAAAAGTTGAAACTTATGTGGAAGCATCCTGGGGTAGTGTAAACTCTGAATTGCTCAAATCATGACCCTGGGGGGTTGGCGGGGCCACACAAGGGAATGAAAGCTACTCAGGTAAGCGATGTAGCTCATGGGCCTCTTGTTTTACATCATTGTTCATTTTCTCATTACAGTATTGATGATGCATAATGCAAATTTTTCTAAGTGTTGTTGATATTTTTCATGTGAAAAAACCGGGATCAAGGTCATATTAATCTGAAAGACCTACGCATATAGCCGTGCTGTATACAGCAAAACTTGTTTAGTATGAACTCAGATATATAGCAAAGTTATTTTAGATCCCCAGCTATATAAATTTAACAAATTCCTTATACGGATATACATGTAACAAATTACGGATATAGTGAAGTAATTTTATTGGTCCCTGTGACTTCGTTATAACCGAGTTTTACTGTATAGGACTTGTGACTAGTGTTGTTACGATAGCCGCCGACTATCGAAAAATCGTCGTTTAAAGGCCAAGATCGGCGACAATCGATTGTAAATATTATCATCGATAGATCGCTATATTTTTCATGCCGTATTTTTTAAGCCGATCAGGTTTAAATTTTATATTCACCAAAGGGACGTCACTCTAATCGGCGGTAATCAAAATGGCGAACGTGCATGGTGAAGAGGTTGACGCCTAATTATATCAATATCCTGGTGCAACACGATCTAAAGTTTGAAGTTTTTTGGCTTTCTGAAACAGGGGGATGGGCCTCCATGCAAAAATAATATACTGATGGACTTGGTTATTTGTAAATTGTGTAAAATGTCGTATGCCAATAAAGATAAGTTGAAGTTCGCGGTCACATGTCATGGAATTCTACTCGTGCTGAATTAATAAATTTAACCTTTTCAATAGTTCAAATTATCGATTATATAATCGATTGTGTTCTTCCGATTCAATTTGATAATCGATAGTAAAATATGTCCGATTTTACAACACTACTTATGACTGTGTTAAATTTACATGTAACCATATATGAATATTATTAGACAGTTTCAATTGTATTCCTGGTTCTATTTTTATCAGCAATGAAGATGACAGTGAGGAGGGCGAGGATTTCCTGCCAGAGTCCATGGAATCCCCTGATAACGATCCCTCAGGAGAAAATACCCAGGAATCTCCACAGGAAACTAATGAACCATCCACTGACGAGGGTACCTCAGAATACAGCACTTCACCAGAGGGTCCGTTGGATCATTCACCTCACATAGGGACACAAAATGGGCAGAATAAAATCATCATCTCAGACTTCGATTTTGATCGAATACACCACACGAAAGATATCTGCATGAACCGTTTAGAAGAAAGAACAGCCCAACAAATGCGTCAGGTGCTAGAGGAAGAAAATGAGAAGATATTGGAGGATGTGAAGGAGTGTAAAAGTCTGGCTGTGGAGGCGGGGTATGGTAAGTACAGGGAAATCACTAACTATAGGGGGGGATGGGGGACGGGGCTAATATTCATTGTTTTCGAGGCATGGAGAGACCCATGAATTTATGACCACCTGGAAATGGAAAAATTTAATATATATTACTACTTACCATTCTCCAACAACAAAATCATGTCCCCACACCAATTTTTTATTTCAAACTGTGAAAATTATTCCCACGAAAACGTGTGATTTTACAGTATTTTGTGTGAAGAAAATATTAAATGTTAGAAGCTGCTTTATAGAAATTTTTCAGATTCAGAGAAAAATTCTACATACCTAGAGATATAAAGAATTATTCACCTTGTAAAACTTTGTATCCCCTCTTGCTAAGTGATATTTCTTTGTTAAAATAGTTTTCATTTTTACGTCATTATGATTATGATGATTCATATCTTGAAAAAAATCACACAGTGTTGTAAATTTGAAAAACAGAATTTCTTTATTTTCAGGTGTAGCAGAACAGTTTGAAGATAGTTTACCCCCAAGGTTTTCTCAAACAGGTCATTTACACTGTACATGTCTAATTCTGTTTTTTATGACTCGCTGAAGTTTCTTTGATCATCAAAAAAGAAAGATAAAACTTTTTTTTTTTAGCAGAAATCTGTCAAATTTTATCAATTCAATAGTCAATTCACCATTAACATTCTTCTTAAAAAATAAAAAGAAAAAATTCTTATCCATAACTAGCTGGGGGCCCTGCATTACCCTTGATCCCCCATGGAACTGGCACCTCAGGGCTGGAAAGACCTTCCAATCAGAATGTCATTGATGACCGCATACCTAGTAAGCGTTACTCACGGACACGCAGAGAGGCCAGGCCAGGGGTAGAAGAGAGGTTGGAATTGGGGCCCATGAGGGGTAGAGGAAGAGCTAGAGCAGCTCCACAACCATCAAGTAGCAGTCCTGCGATTGGTTTAAGTAGCAGTCCGGTGATTGGTTTAAGTAGCAGCCCTGTGATTGGTTCACGTAGCAGTCCTGTAATTGGTTCACATAGCAGCCCTGTGATTGGTTCACGAAGCAGTCCTCTGATTGGTTCATGTGACAGCCCTGTGACTGGTTTAAGTAGCAGCTCTGTGATTGGTTCACGTAGCAGTCCTCTGATTGGTTCATGTGACAGCCCTGTGACTGGTTTAAGTAGCAGCTCTGTGATTGGTTCTTGCAGTAGTCCTGCGGTTGATTTTGGTACTTATAACCCAGCAACACCTCCAAGTAATAATAGACAAGACTTATTATACAAAGCTTCCCCTGAGAAAAGAGAGGAACTAGTACAAACACTGAAAAAGGTATATTTTAAGATATTAGAATACATAAGTGGATTTGATTGAAGTTTAGTGCAGGTGCTGAAAAAATGAATACAATAAAACTCCTGTACAAACAAAGATAGTGCGAATTCACATTTAGTGAAGTTAATTTGGATACCCAGCTGTTTAAATTTAATGAAATATGGATGTAATGAAATATGGATATTGCAAAGTAATTTCATAGTTTCCAGTGACTTCTTTGTAACTGAGTTTTACTGTACATATGTACTGAATATGCTTTCTGGTAAAGAAATTATGATTACCATCCTTAAAGAAGTCAAATCAGTTCAAGTAATATCCAAGTGCAACTTTTAAAGAGTTTATAGAATTAAAGAATGAAATTTTAATGAATGCTTAAGTCCAAGTGTATTTTTATTCTTCTGGACAATTTATGATGGTTATTTTTTGTCTCTCTGGAGTAGATCTTTGCAGAGGCAGAAAGAGACACAGAAGAGGAAACAAGGGCACGATTACAGAGTCTTTTCTTCACAGGTATGTGACTGTTTGTAATGTTTAATGACAACTGTTTATAAGAAAAAGAGTTGTTTTAAGGGATTTGAAAAAAACCATTAAACTTTTTATTTGAGTGAGTCTGATAATGAATACAGGCTAAAATTCAGCCCCGTTTCGACCCTTTTTGCTCAAATGACAGTCGGGCAAATTTAACTAAGAGGCGAATTCAAAGAAAACAATATAATTTCTTAAACAAAAAGTGACTGAATAAATTTTAAATGGGGCATTGGTGGGGATGCCACTATCTATTGGCAGCAGAGTTTGTGGGTAGGGCTTCATTTACTGATGAGAGGTTTTAATCTATTGACAGTAGAGTCTGTGGGCGGGGCTTTATTTACTGATGAGGTGTTTTTCTCTATTGACAGTACAGTTTGTGGGCGGGGCTTCATTTCATGACAAAGTGTTTAATCTATTGACAGATCTTTTTATGTACCTGGACAAGGAACAGTTACAGGAAGTGATCTATGTTCTGTTAAATCGAGCAGTTCGTTACTATGGAGATATTCACGACGTGCTGCTGGACATCATACAAATACTTAGTGGTGAGATTGTTTTTACACTGAAAACTGTTTAATCCAACACCTGTCCAATCTGTCACACTGTAAATTCCGACTTAAAATTTCTGCCCCATTTTTCTACTTTCCATGGCTTTAAAACGGAAATCCGCGCAGCACTGTTAAGGCTAACTATGAGAAATCAACGGAAAATAAAAGTGCAAAAAACGGGAAATTTTTAAAATTGAAATTTTAATTCAGCAATTCTATTATCACAGAACTTAAATACTTATGGAAATAGCATAGTATAACATACTCTGTACTGTGTAGAGTCTGGTCCCATCGATGGACAGTCACGTGATGAACGGATAGCAGGTACACGGAATGTAGGTCAATAACAAATTTCAATATCGCAAGGGCATACCCTAATTGAAATTAAAAATTCAAGCTATTAATTGTTTCTGTGTACTTTGTAGTTTCTGAAAAGTGCTGCTGCTTTGAATAGAATCCGCGTTTTAATACTTAAATGTTTAAGTAAATAACCCAATGTCGAAATATGTTAGAATTTTACCAAATATTTTGTGTCCTTATAAAATCACGGCCTCGATTTAAAGAAAGCAGCAGCACTTTTTAAGTTAAGGAATATATCCTTTATCTATATTTAAAAAAAATGTTCAGATATATGCAGTGTATGCCCTTGCGAAAGTATGATTTTATGAGGCATCTCGATGTAAAATATAGGTAATTTGTACATAAAACACTACATAATTAATAGAATACATTCTCTTTATAGTTAATTAACAATCGCACTAAACAAAGGCTATACCTTGAAATTAATAGACTATTTAAAATCTGTAAATAATTTTCCGTTTAATTATAAAACACATTTTTCGTTGATAAACAATTTCTCAATTTGCCTTTCACAGCACATGAAGTACGTCATTTTTACCAGTATGACGTCATGTTAACAAGTTCATCGCAAGGGACTTAACTAGCAACTTTTTATAATGCATTGATCAGTTATAATGTTGTTTATTATGCTAATACTGTTCAGCGTTGCAAATTATTTCATTTACGCGTATTATGAGAACAACATGAATGTCATATTTTTGTGTGACGTCATAGTATACTTTTCCCGTATAAATTAGGCCCAGCCCTCTTATTCAAGCCTTAACAATGCTGCGCGGCACCTTGTTTATTCCAGCATAAAATTTGTCTCCCAGTGCATGTGGGATTAGACAGGTTTCACTGTTTAAGTTTTTGGTTCTGTGTTACTTGGGTGACATTTTTGCTATTCGTTTTCGTCGTGCGTCAAGTGATGTGCCGTGTGTTAATATGTGAACATTTTTCATCTTCATCTCATAAACAACTGCACCAATTTCAGCCAATTTTAGCATATGGCATCTATGGGTGAAGGGGAACAAATTTTTTGAATTTTACATTCCCTGCCCCCCTTGGGCCTGAGGGATGAGGCCAAAACCACTAAAATCAATGCAATGTTCAGTCATAGATATCAAGCAGTTAAACTGTTGACATGAATGTAATAAGCATGAATTTCTCTACCAAAATTGTGAAATTTATGGCCCCAGGACCAAGGGGTTGGAGTGCAAGGGCAGCGCTATATTGCAGATACAAGTACTATGCACATGAAATAATCCATTTTCATTCAATCATGAATGTGTTCAAGTGTGACCCCCCCCCCCCCCCCCCCCCCCCCCAAAAAAAATAATAATTGCGTTTTATTTGTAATAGTTTCTCTAATGAGCATTTTAAAATTAATTTTAAAATTGAATCCCGCAAAAAATGTCACATCTATTTATAAGACTTCTAAATTTGCATCCTGCTATAATTTCTACTTATGTGCGGCATATACGTGTATTTGTTTTGATTTTAGTGACTGAGGATTTTCCCGACTGTCTTTACCAGTCCTGTAAGAAAATAGAAGAAAACTACATCAAGGTAATATAAAAAGATTTAAAAAAAAATTCAGACCAAGGAAATTTAGCAAAATTTCATGTATTTATGCATGATATTGATCAAGAATCTGTAGCACAAGCATATGAGGGGAATGTTTATCCATGATATTAGAATGATACCCAGTACTTGTTAATGTAAGCAGTGGCTAATTGTCTGAAAACTAGCGCTAAATTCTCCATATTTAAAATTTCAACAATTTTTAGACGGAGGCACAGCCTCCGGTTATAGGGATTGTCTTGCCCATGGAATGTAAACAGGAAAGATTTCCCAAGCACCATCTATCGGTGAAATTGTTTTCATTACCTTGAGAATTCTATTTTTAGAGCGACTCTGAGTAACAGCGACCGCAAGGATAGGCATAGTCTAAAACAAAGATCGCGTCACATACAAGTATAAACAAACAGTTCTACTTTTTCTTAATAAACAGGATTTGTCTAATATTTTTTAAATGAAGTGTATGTTAATACATTTCCTACGGAATATGTAACAAAGAATGTGATTTATACTGTTTTTTTTTTATCAGACAGAATATTAGGAAATTTTGTTCCAGTCGACGATGATAAAGCGTGTTTTACAATATGCCGAGCCTTTTCCCACTGATTCTCACACCAAAACAAGAACGAGAAGAAATGAAGTGGCGGATCTAGAGGGAGTTGAGGGGGGGGGGGGGGGACATCCGCGGAGAGTGATCGAAGAACCCCACTTATCAATTGCTTCTTTTATTAAAGTAAAAAATATCTCTAGTTATAGATATAAATTTAACTTTAGTTTTATATTTAATTGTAAAAACTTCCACCAGAATTCGCCTGTATCAAACTAAATGTGGAGACGCAGATGTACCTGTATTATGTATTGAAAAAAATCCTTTAATGCCGCATGCAAATGTTTTATGTCGCACGTATAAATATAAGATATTTTAATAATAGATCAAGCATTTCAGTTTTAATGGAATTTTTTGTGCTTGATTGCTGTTTGTTATCTCATTTTCACTCCTTTTTCTAATTTCTACCTGAAAGGGCCGATAAATTGGTTTGTGGTCGATTTTTGACGCTTGCATTAATAGGTTTCTTGGAGTTTTTTAATCTGAAAAGGATCGATGAATAAACAAATGCATAGTATTTTTATCTGTAGGAATATTAATAGTTTAGTTTTGGATTCTTTATTTGTAATTATGTGTAATTTTAGGAAACACATGAAAATAGATTTACACTTTTTACAAGCGGTTTGAGTGTTTGGGGTACCCTCACATTAGATAAGAGAGAAACAAACGGCAACTCTGACATTGAGATCAAAATGCATTTGTAACTTTTGACCTTTGGGTACAACCCAAATCTTGGTTCATAGGATTTACATGATTTATCACATTATTTCCTAATTAGTAATTAAAAATTATATCTTCTGAAGTAATTAAGTTGTATTATTGTTATATCGTTGATCCTTATTTGCATTTGATACTTGTGTTTTACCTCTTTCACATCTCAAACTTTAATTATTTTTTATATACAAGATTACATGTATTTCTGATCATTGGTATTCATGTCAACTTTTTTAATATACATCACTGGTGAAGTGATTGTTTGAACAGAGTTACTGAAAAGCTGAAATCATAGTTATATATTTATTACTTTTCTCTACGTAATTTGAATCATGTCTCATTGTTAATGATTGTTTTAAACAGATAAACTGAAAAAGACAATCATTTCCACTGGTATACGAGTAAAGAAAGACATTTTTTGGGTTAAATCTGTCATATGATAAAATACTACATTTAATAGTTTCAGAAATATTGGTTGTCAAATTTGTCAATATATATCTTTGTTATTGTAAGCAATACCCCAGTTCTCCAAAAACAATTTAAACTTGTGAAATAGCAAGTATTATGAACTTTATTGTTCTGTTTTAATTTTAAGTAAGAAAGTATATTTTATTCCACTCAAAAATTGTGTTCTGGCACGAACATTTAATGCATGTTAATGACTTTATATTACTTACAAAAAATTCTGTGTTGCATAAAGCTAGGTCACTCCATTTTGTATCACAAAGGTTCAAGACAAACAGTTATATATTATGTTGTTCATGTCCAATTACCTGGCTGCTTCTTTTTCCATGTTCGCTCATATCATAACATTATTACAATAAGGCTGAGAAATTTTGATTTTGGTAGCTGTTACATGTCATAATTATGTTAACAGTAGGTCTCTGTGACCTATAAATATTTCCATCTCTATTTTTTTTCTCTGTGATAACTCTTTGAAAGTTAGGGGAGTTTATTTCTTAATAATTCTGCCGGAATGTAAATTAGGCAGGTCGATAGGTCAGGAGCTAAGGAGGCCTAATACGCATGCAAATATCGTGCGCATTTGTCTTTGTGTCTGACGCTAAGGAGGCCAAATATGCATGTAAATCTCCTGCGACTGCCTATGTGTTTGACGTCAGTGGGTGAGGACTATTGAAATTGGCATTGAAGTCCTCGTGTAATTTAGGTCTATGTCTACATTTTAAAAGTCTAAATCTACAATTTTATTTCACAATGAAATGGAAATATAAGGAATCACTGTCTAGTTTTGAGAGTATGCCAGGGACATCAACAATAGTGGGAAACATGGGATAATTCTAGCAAAACTAGACAGTGGTTCCTTCGGTAGTTCCATAAAACCGATTAACATCTTTCAAATTCAAAATTTGATAAGAAATAGTTCCTTTTATAGTAGATAGTGGGAATATTTTGCCTTATTACTTCAAATAAATCCTTTTAAAAATGGTCGCCATATTGTTTCAAACGTCATATTGATCTACATATGTTACAGCTATTTTCATTAGACAAATATTAAAGAGCTTCAAGGGACTTAACTCAATTACGGCGATAAGCAGCGCAATCAAAGTTCCCGTTTGATAAGACTAAATGTACCAAGGGTTGTAGAGTAGGTATCGGATCGGAATCCCTTGGCTAGTGAAGTGGCTCATCTAAATAACAGTGAACTTTAATCATGGCGAAGTTTACATTACAAAGATGAAATTATAATATCCCCAAAACCTCATGAATATTGGAGTATCCTTTGAAAAAAATGTTGAATTGAAAAAAAAAAATACACATTATTTCTCAAAATATTCTTCACAGCTATGTATGATATATATATTTCTTTTGTGTTCTCTCATACACGAAGCCTCCGTCTAACAGTACTTTCAGTACTTTGATTAGAACAGTGTATATCTTCAAGTCTATTGTGTTGAATTTGGATATTTCTTCAACATAACTAGTACTGTAATGTTTAACTTAAAGTCTATTGTGTTGAATTTGGATGTTTCTACAACATAACTACAAAGTATAACTTCTGTTGAATATGGATATTTCTTCAACATAACTACATAAGTAATAATATTTTTCCTACAGATTCAGATGAAGGGGAGTCCATTTCATGTCCAGGCCAGTAAGGTGTTAGCTCATATCTTCACAATGAGCCTTCACTGGTCCGGCAGGTATGTTGTGCCTCCATGTATACTGTATACAGGGTTATTTTTGCCCTTTCACACTTGCTTACAAATTTGCCATGTTATAAATATGCCCAGTCTCAGATCTATTTAAGATTTTATATGGTGTTCTTTAAATCCCTCCCTCTAATTTCCCACTTGTGACAAGGGCAAAAGGGGCGAAAATAAAACGGAGGCGAAAATTTCCCTGTACATGTATACAGTATATTTATAATTTACAACATTTGATATTTGATCTATAATTTTAGTAATCCTTCTTGTCATTTTAATCTTAAAGACTTGAGTTTTGATTTGAATTTTGAACAGCAACCAAATTCAAGAGATGATGTTATCAGCTTTGGAGAAGTGGATAATATTCAACAAAACGGTAAGAAGATTTTTGTCCGTCCAAAAATAAAAACACACCCTTTATTCTTGACATACGAAATCTCAGAATTATAAATATTAACTCAAAGGAATATACAGAAATTCTTGTGTGTCCATCAGTTCAATTTTTCTTACATACTTTAATATTGAATTACAAATTAGAACCATTTTGTTGAGACAGAAACTTGAAATTTTGAAGTAAAAATATGTTACTTGTTTGTAAGTGATAAAACTATCTATTAGGTAAGATTTCATGTGCAATTTTAATAGTTTTGATATAATAAACTGAACATTACCAGAATGTTCCCAATTTTTCTTGTTTTTCAGGCTCAACAGCTTGGACAGGACAGATTACAGGAGCTTTACATTGAATGTTTTGATATTGTGTGGTGCATTGTGGGATCTCATATCTGCCGTCTCTATCCTGAACACAAAGCTCGGCTGCAGAGAGAGTGTCGAAATAAGATTCTCAATGACAATGTTTCCAGGTATGTAGAGGAAAGTTTTTATGGACAAATTTCTAGTTTTATTTAGCAACATTAAGGACTCTCAGTAATCTGAACTCAAAAGAGTTCCAATTGTCTGATCAATATATTTTGCAGTATTATATTAGAATGATCTTACCCTTTAATCTTAAATTAACCCCCCCCCCCCCCCCCCCCCCCACACACACACTTTACAAGACACAGTGTATAGTGTGTCCTTTAATGTTTTATTCATTTTTATGTCTCAGCTGTTCAGATGGTAGTCCTTTGACTTCAGACTTGTGGGAGCATGGTTATAACCTCCACATTTCAAGGTCACTCAGATACAGCTTTAAGACTTCTGTGATTGCTGTAATTTAGGATCCTTTTGTTCAAATAAGAAATAAAATGAAACATAATTTGACAATTTCTTCCCGTGGACTAGTCAGATATTGTGGTATATTTATTTTAGATTGGTGCGGTCAAAGTTGCTGGACCTATACATAGAGAAGTTTGTGGTATCACCCACTTCAAAGAAAGAGGAAATTCACACCTGTACTCAGACCAGGGCTCTGACAATGGTAGACAAGGGGGTACAGACAGATATGATCAAAATCACAGGTGAGGCAAACAGGATGTCATTAAAATGGGGACAAAGGGATGCCTTTTGATTCTGGGAAACTTTTAAATATTTTTTGAGCTCAATTCAAAGAAGTTGTGATAACTAATGCTATACCCCGACTTTCAAAAAATTTGTCGGTTCTGTTGTTACAGTCTCATCAAAGGTGTTTGGTTAACGTTATCATCATACATGTACTTTAATATCATTTAGATATATTTTTTTTATTTCACCTTTTCAGAAAGACGATCACAGGCAGAATCTCCTTCACCTGTTGCACCAGCATCAGAACCATGGAAAAAATCCATAACAAAGACAGCGCCAAATAACACAAAAGCCACCACAGTAGAATCCAAGAAAGACATTGAGTGGCCGAAATTGTCCGGTCCAAAAGTACCCGATTGGACAAATCGGTTGCTGGACAGTCCGAAACTTCCAGACTGGGGCAGCCCAGAGGGAAGTAGCAGTAGTGTCCGAAAGACTCCAGAGTCGCTGACAAGTGGATTGTATTTTTCTGCAGAGGATAAATCATTTCCGAGTTCACCGGATATCAGACAATCTTCATTTCTTAATTCTCCAGACAATCTCAGAAAGCGAAATTTGAATCAGTTGAGGAGCCCTAAAGAGACCTCGGTAGTGTCAGAACCAGTGCAGAACTTTACAAACTGGTCCGACAATATGGTGTTTGGATCTAAATCAAACTTTCTGTCCAGTGATCATACAATAAAGAAATCGGAAGATGAAAGAAAAAGCCAACTGTTGAAGAACAAACTTTGTGCTTTGGCAGAGCCTAAATCAAATTCCACAGGACTGAAAGCTCAAAGTCAAAGAGTGCAGCAAAATGATGGCTCCAAAAAGGAAAATCAACAGATTAGGCAGTTGGGAGGAAAGGAAGTGTCTTACTCTAGCAATAGGAAAACAAAGGATCTGAAAGAGGAGCAGAAATCTAGAGACCCAGAACCAGTCTCTTGGTGGGATTCAACAGGCAGCTTATCGAGATCAAATTTAAAATCTCCTTCTGTTGGCTCAGAAGAGGATTCAAGTGGCAGTGAAAAAAGATCTTTGGGCAGAGGGAGGGGAAGGCGTGTTAAAAAAGGGCTTCCTACACCCTCAAATTCTTCTTCTCTCGTACAGAAATCAGACTTTGGAGATGAGAAATCTGAAAATCTTTCTAGCTCTCAGAAGAGGGTCAATCCTTTACGAGCCACCAGAGATGAAAATCCATTGCACTTCCAAAATCAGAATGCTAATTGCAAGAAAGGTAGTGGTGCTGGTGGTGGGAAATCCCCACAAAAAGTGATGGACTGGTTCTCTATGGAGGAGGTAGAAACTGGTGATCAGCCCTCAGAAACAGGCAGCAGGAATGAGGATGACGTGCCAGACGACTGGTTTCTGGCAAGCGAGGACGAAAAAAGTGCCAAATATTCCCAAAGCAGTGATATGCAAGCTTTACAGAGTCAAACAAGTGACATTTCAACGAATCAAAAGAGTCCTAGCAAAGGTCAGGTGTCTCAAAATGGAGACTCGCCATCACAGACAGAAGCTGACACAGGTGGGCTGGACGGTAAATTTGACGGTGAGGACGGTAACGGTGACTGCCCCACGCGACCCTCCCATTTTTCCGACGAGGAGGGTGATGATGATGGATTATGGGAAACGGACCAGAGCTCCGATGATGAAATGTATATGAGGCCTGCAACTGCCGACATTTCTGACAAGGGATTTACAGAAAGTGTTTCTAAGTGGGTTCCTGGGCAGAGAAAGTGTACACTGTGTGGTGCCACTGATCATGTTATATACAAGTGCCACAGGAAAAAAGACAACAGCTTTTTTCTGTAAAAAATGTGCCATTTTTTTATTTTGTTCTTGTGTTTAAGGAAAAGCTTTTAAACCTACTGTTCACAATATGATCTGAAGCCTTCAGCTACCTTCATTGGTCAAAGTCTGTGTGTGTATCTGAATGTATTTCTGTACCCTTCACTGAAAGTATCAGTTTTCAAATGTCTTCACATGCTTCTTGAATCAGGCAAACTTATGAAATATTGTCTGATGATTAATTCTTTCTCCTGCATAATTGCCTCAGGTTGTGATGTAAGGATTATAATTTGCTAAGGTCAGCATAAAAAAGAACTTATTTTTACAAGGCAGGTACATGTATCTGTCCCCAAATAAAACTAAGAAATTAAGAAATCTTTTTATTATAAATTAAAAAAGAATGGTTTTCTGATTATAATTTGTTCTTTGAATTTATTGAATAAAGTTTTAACTCCCAGTGAATAAATTTTCCTCTTAATTTTTGCAAAAAAGTCTGAAATTCATATATCGCAGGCATAGTCTTTAGATGACAATTCTCAGCAAGATTTTGCATGGGCATATGAGCACACAAATTTCCTTGTTGACTTTGAACCCAAAAGTCAAGGTGCAACTTTTTTCTTTCTTCATCTGTATTTTCTCAGTTTTTGCATTCTTTTCTTTATTCCCTAAGTTGGGGACACAGAATCCCTTAATTAAATACACTATAGTTTATACCAAGTCACTTAATTAATAATTATATATTGCTTAAATAATTGACCTCTTCTGAAGAAATACTAGTATGTAAATTTGGAAATCTTCTTGAATGTATATCTTGATGTATAATATGCATTTAAATACTATGCATTTGTTCCACACCTGTAATTTTAACAAATAAGATATTTCCTGGGGGAAAAAAGCAGCTTTAAAGCATTTGAAATGATTTTTTTTAAGGTTTATGTGTCCTTGTATACCATTCCTTATTTTTTTTAATATGGTTTGTAGCCCTTTTGAATTTCACGAGAAGTCAGCTTATATTTTTTTAAACGTAGAACAATGGAAAATTCAGCCATTTTGCTCCAAAGCTATAGGACATTTCTCAAGGATTTGACCTTTTGTGTCTAAACTAATAATCAAAGTGGACAAAAAAAGAGAAGAATTTTCTCTCTGTGAATCTCTTTCAGTGCCTCCCACTCATATAAATTTGTCTGCTTTTTATTTTGGTTTTATTTATGTGCATGAGCTCTATGATAAACTTAAAACAGCTTAACCAAATGCCAGATTACCCATAGGTGAACAACCATGCTTGTGATATAATATTGTATTTAATGTCAGCACTTGCAGGAGGGCCCAAATTTAGAAGTCTTTGCCATCATTTTCATGTTAAATGATTGTTTTTTTTTTAAATTAAATATTTTAAAGTACAATATTCATAATTGATTAATGGATTTTTTTCTTTAAAATTGGTAATACATGTACATGTATATCCATAAAAAGAGATTTTCCATGTACAATACACTAACTGTTTTTTGAATATTTGGATGTAAAACTGATAGAAATTTTAATGTGCCAGTTTTACATTTCAACATTTTGCCATGAAAAAATATTAACTTCATGAAAACATGATCAATATTCCAGCGTAATTGGTCATTCCAGTGTGATATGAACCATTTGAAATATTTTCCACAAGGTGTGATGTAAAGTTTTGGGTGAAGAAAAAATGTAGAAATCTTGTCTTGGGGTATTAAACTTGAAAGATTAGAAATGAGAGCTCAAAAATGTTGGATACAATATATTATAAAAGTCAGATAGGTCTTCAAGGTTTAAGAGAAGAAGCTCCGATTTTTTTTTAAAAGCTGTATAAGCTGCATTTTTTGAAAATTTTATCTTCCAGTCAAAATATTCTAATGCTATTATCATGATAAATCTGTATTTGATTTAATCCTTTCTGATCAAATAGACCAAAATGCAGTTAATTTGCATTCAGCCAAAGATTTCAACCCTCTCAAATATAAATAGCAGAACTCTAAAAATGTACTTTTTCCTGTCATTGAAATGGTTATAATTACAATATGAAAAGAAAAGTTTCCGACTTCAAAGTTGCCGCTTATATTTCTTAAAGCGAAGACATCCAATTTCCTACCATTTTATTGTAAAGAAGTAGCTCTTACAGTTGTCCTGTTTAAGTGATATTTTGTCTGTTCAAAAATAACAAAATGAATCTTCTTAAAACTGTGGTCATTTAGATATTAGGTCCAATGAAGAAAATTTTATACAGTGGTGGAATTCCTCTGTCATATTCTGCAAAATTAAAATTATTTTTTTGTCAGATGGCAGTTAGGGGTTAGTTTTGATGAGATGATGTTACAGTAGTATTTAATTTTGCATTCATACAGAAGTAAGATGTTGCAAGTCAGTTTTATTAATATTTCTCTTGTATATGGTTTTGAATAATACTTATTATTGCTACTTTTAAAATTATTAGATCGTACACTATAGAAGAGCTAGGTGTCAATTTTGTTTGCTTCGAAGTCTGAGCTGATGCTGTCATTTAAAATGAGGTTTTTGAATATACTATTAATTCTTGATTGAAATTATGTAATAATTATATGTGATTTGAAATGATAGAATGAATTCATTTGATTGTAAAAAGGCAGTAATTTTCATCTTTCGAAAACATTTTTCCAAAGTGTCATTGTAGCATGTATGTATAATAGACGTCAGTCTTTTAATAAAGAAAAAAGTATGGAGTACATTTGATCGGAATTTAATAATTTAAAAGATTTTTTTTTTCTTTTTAAAGCATTTTTATTTGTTGACAGCATTTATGGTTTGTAAACTGCATCATAAACTGATGAAAATAATTTTTGTTGTTTTATCAGGTGTTCTACATACATGTTTTATTTATGGAGAAAATGCAATTTGTTCACTGAAAAAAAAAAAAAGGTAGTTACCTGATTTGTAGTTTGTATTCATTGATGTAAAATTGTTTCTTACGAAACAGCGAGATTTGGAGGAAATGTCCGTCTTTTCATTTGTAAATATTTAATCGCATTTTTTTCTCATGAAAGTGGAAAGTTCTTGGACATTTTGATCATTCAAACAGATATTTGACAGCATGAAGATGAATCTTTTTATTAAGGATACACCAAAGGTTTTTTTTTCAAAAATTTGGTCAATTTTGAGTTTTTGGGCTGAAAAACAATGCTAATTACTGCTTTATAATGCATGAAAAATTCTTGCTGATTATTAAATGTTTTTCTAATATTTAACAATAATCAAACATAAACACTAACACATGTGAATGTGCCGTTATTGAAATTTCTGATTTGGTCTGTAACTGCCTGCTTCTGAGAGGAACAATAAATAAATCACTGTGACCACTTGCGGAATTCTTCACTAGCTACACAGAGGTTATCAGTAATTAGACTACAGGTTTTCTAGGTTTAGGGAAGGAGATCTAACAGGTCATTAATGACCATGAAATAGGAGGTGGAGCTTAGCTCATGTCATTTTGCCGGGAAATCTTTGTGATACAGAATTGAACCTATTTTATTTCATTAAACGCATCTAAATGAAGAATAGAACCTCCCATTTCTGTGAATACGCATGGGAAATATGTATAAGTAATAGGTATCTAAAGCTGAATCTCCAAGGTGTCATGTATTTCTAGCTTTGGCAGACTTTGTTGTGTAATGGGTTTTTGCCCTCTTCAGTAAAGAAAGATCAGACAGTTGGTGGTATAATTTCAAAGGATTCAGCTCCCTTATTCATTGACCAATTTCTCTGAAAACTGGCCAGAATGCGTCTCAAATGTGTGTTCACAAAACTGTATCTGAGATTTTTGATATCTTACTCAGTTCTTGAATTATTTGGGGAAATGTAGAGTTGTGCTAATAAATTAATAACATTTAAAGACAAATGGATGTATTTTTTTGAAAAAGAAGACTCTCGGGTAGTGTACATGTGTCGATTCAAATTTGTACAAATTATGACCCCCAGGGGTATAGTGAGGCCCCTATGGATGATTAAGGTTTTACATTGGAATACATAGGAAAAGATGTTACAATTCTTCACAAAAACAACAAAGCTATGATTGACCATCAATATAAAAGCATAAAAAAGGCCATCGACGGAAACGATGAAAAAAGAGTGATGTAGATTTTAAGGATGATGTGACATAACTGCTATCTGGGGCCCCCTTTTCCACGACGAATTATATTTTATCTACAACGATGTTGGTAGTTTTCAAACATGAGTGAATAAATAAGACGCCTTTTCAATAGTTTCAATAGTTCAGACACATTTTAATTATAAGGAATACTGCATTATCTTTGATTTTTTAGACCCTATCACAGCTAAATTCGGTCAGGTTTGTGCGAACATTTTCTTTTATGGCTAGAGAATGGGCGGGCCTTGGTACAATAGAGGGATATGCGTGTCTGAGAAAACCTTATATGGCTATTGTTATTATTTTGCACGAAGTCATTGTCCAATCCGATGACAGAACAACAAAACATGCTGGTTTACTACGTTTACATTTTATCACAGACACGTGGCTGAGGTCAATTTACCTGACTGTTGTCCTTTTCTACATTTCAAACTTTTATAATGGTCAGCCAAAGCTGTCTATACTTAATAATAAGTATGGATTTTCAGCATTTACGGTTTTTAGGACAAGAAATGCACATGAAACTTCTATTCACTGATACTCGGGAATACGTGTAGACCTAGCGAATTGCTCATCAAACACGCTACAAAACTTTAATCTAATGTATATTTATCAATTGTTTGTAAATGTATTGAAATTTTACTGTGATTTCAGAAATTGAACATATGTAGATCCGTGTGTAATCGGTGACTAGCTAAAATACATAAAAAAATATCGGAAAGCAGTAAAATTCCAAGCAAGTTTCCATAGTATTTTCGTGGTACTCACTCGTAACGAATTTCATTTAGCTGATTGGTCAGTTAGAAAGTATCGCCTGTGCCTCGATTAGCATATGAATTTATTCTTACGTCAGAAAATCTAGTTCCGTCGATCTGTTTATAATGGGAAAGGCCAACTAGATTTTACAATTTTTTAAAAAATAGCATGTGAGCGCAGTTAGGTACAATATTCTCCTTTCACATATAGGTAGATTTCAATTAAATACAGTGACCAGCCAAAGGAAAAAATTGTACCTACCTGCGCTCGTATATTTTAAGGGCTTCAAAGAGTGGGGCGGGGTTAAAATGCAATTGGGAATTGAATGTAAACATGATACCCCTACCCCAATAATAGATCTATATCTTTCAAATCACGTTTCTAATTTTGTTAAAAATAGTATTCGATAAAGGTACACATGTCAATGATTAGTTACATACAACATTTTTTGTAAAATTTAGACATCTAATTTTTTGTCAGTATACAAGGGACCGCAAGTCACCTCATCCTTTTTTGAAATCATGACCAACCAGGAGACTAGAGAAGCCATTAAAATGGATCATAGTTATTCAAAAGAATAAAAAGGTTATATCAATCAAATTTTCATCTTATAAACAGCAAGGAATTATATATATATCATATTGATTTAAAAGCATCTATAGGAAGTATAAGTTTAACTTTATTCAAATACCCCTAACCCCTCTTTCCTGAACCCTTTTCTATATTTAAACTTTAATGCTGAACTGAATTTTGTTTTTATCTAGCCAGTTTCTCATGTGAGCAATGTAGCCTTAGGGCCTCGTGTTTTCATAATGCTTCTAAGGGTCTTACTTGTAAACACACAGTTTAGTAGCATTATCTGCAAGGCATTAAAAAAATTGTCAAAAAACTTTAAGTTGAACCCCTTTAAAAAACATTCCAGAGGGGTTGAAAGCGGAAACAGTTAAAACGTGTTGTAAACATACATATAGTTAAAAACTCAATAGATTAGAATATCGATACAGGGTGGAGTATGGTTTTTGAAAGTGGGACGTTGATCAATCTGGGAAAAAAGTACTTATATACATTACCAGAAAGTTTTGAAAAAAAGGAAAATTAATCTCCGAACCTGAAAATTCTATTTTGTAAAGGGATGTTTTTTTTTCTGTTTTTTGTTGTTGTTGTTTTTTGTTTTTTCAACGGAATTTCTTTGTATATTACAGCATTAGCCTTTCACCTTACATTTTCTGTAGTAAAAACACAACAAAATAATAGGAACTTTCTTATTCTTTCTTTTTTGCAAATCCAAAAGGGGGGGGGGGTTGCAACCCCTGTAACCCCCCTAACCCTCTGGATCCGCCACTGCATTCCATACCTTATAACAAATGA